ATGTTTCATCATCACAGGTAGCCTACAAGCACCTGTTTAGCATTCTGAGCTACCTCTGGGTGGGAGACTGGAATACATGTCCTCTAAGACCTCTTTTGATAACTCTAAGGAGCATCACTTGGAGCAGGACTGCCCAGAAAGGCAGACGAATGTGCCACTGGCAGCAGCCCGCTTAAGACCTCTCACCACCTGCCCTTACCTCGAGGACAGCTCAAAGTGGTTAAAAACAGCCAACACCTCCACACCCCCTTAACAGGGCATCACACATCACCAGGCCAGCTCTGGGAAAGGAAGCACTGTGACTCATCAGTGTGGGGTTCGAGCAGTGTGGTTGCCTCAGGAATGTAGGGAGAAGATTTCCCAATCTCTCTTTATTTGTTGCCAAATCTCTCCGGAAGCTGTTGGACCCAGTGAAATTAAAAGTCACTGAATGTTTTACTGGGTTTCCCCAGAGTGTAAAGCCCTTACAGAAGAAGCTGACTGCCCCTAGAGGGGGAGACCAGAATGAGAGGGAGGCCATTTATGGTTTGCAATTCAGAACAAGGACACCATGAAGAGAAGATGATGGCAGGATTCTGAAATGAAACCATGACACATACTTGTAAGGTGAAACTGCAGTCACTTTTCAAATCCAGATGAACCACAAAAACCCAGCAGAACTGTACACATCACAGGCAACCTCTCCTGAAAGAAAATGAGTAGGGCCCACCCAAATGAGCCAGCACAAACAGAAACATGTTGTCTTCCCAGAAAAGTGAAAAGATCAAACATTCCTGGGCAGCCAGGACCCAGACCCACCCAATTTACCAGCTGAACATCTTCCAACCTCTCTCGCTTATTCAAGACCCGTCAGTGAGAGACTAAACTGTGCAATGGAAAAATGTCCCAGTCACCAGACCTGGGCTCAGATCCTTCCTGGACTCGTTTCTAACTGTGTGACTCTAAGCCTCAGCTTCATGATCAGGTGAATGTGGACAAGAGTAATTATTTTGTAGGCTTGCTGGGGGAATTACAGGGAATTTATATGATGATGATCAATAAATGACAACTTATGTTAATAAAAATAACTACAGAAATGGAGAAAAAGATAAAAGGAAGCAAAAACAGAAAATATTACTCCCAAATACTTCCTCCGAAACTTACTTTGAGGAATTGATGTGAATTTTTTTATTACAAATATTTTAAGCAAACGAAATATGGAGAGTGCACCCATTCCCTAGCTCTTGATTTCCAGTATTTTGAAATACTTAAATCACATTTTTAAAGAAATGAAACACTGAAGATACAGTTGTGTAGCCCTTGTCTGTCCTGTTCTCCATACCTCTACCCTCTGGACCCTGTCCAGCTTCCTTTTCTATGTTCTGTTTCTTGGGGCTTCCTTCCTCCAGCCTGAACTAACAATCACCACAACCAACTTCTCTCTCTGCATTATCAGTATTCTGGCTGAATACTGCTTCTTCTAGGACTATAAGCTTCCGCTGAGGAGAAAGGGAAACTCTGGCCCTCCAGCACTGCCACTGTCTCAAAAGGTGCTCCTTAAAAGAGGCTGAAGCTAATGGTTGTCAGGCTAGAAAGAAGAGTGAGGACTCCTCCCTGGATAGCGCTGGGCATTAGGGTCTTCAGGTGTGGGCTCACACCTGTCCTAGAAAATAAATTATTTAATCATTCTTCTTGAAACCAGAACTTCCCCAAAATATTTATACAATTAAGGGAAGGAATGAAAAGTAAAAGAAAACCTGAGAAACATGAGATGAGTCTCTAAGCTCTTTCAACCCTTTGTTAATTCCATCTTTGTTAATTTCCATATACATTTGCGGTCAGGAGACCTGGATTCTAGGCCTGGCCTCACCTTTTATAAGCACGTGACCATGGGCAAATCCTTCTCTTCCCCCAAGGCCTCTGTTTCCACATCTGTAAAAAAGAGATAATAATATCTTCCCTGCCTAACCCCCAGAGGTGTTGTAGGGATCCCAGCAGATAGTGGGAGCAAATATACTAAAGCTCTATCTGCATCTAGATACTCTCCATTTTGCTGCATCCTGGAGGTCAGGGGATGGTGGGGGCTCTCAGGCCACTCTCCTGCCTAGCACTCAGCTCCCTATACTTGATCTTCAGCAATCCCCATAATCACTGGCCTTGTGAAGAACCCTTTAATGATCTTAAAGCACCGTCACATTCCTGAGACAGCTGATAATAATAGCTAAGATTATTTTACTTAGCACATACCAAACATTATGTTGAGTATTTTATATTCTTTATCTGGAATCATTAAAATAATTCTCGATGGTAAGTGCTGTTTATTTTTAATTAATCAAACAGTTTTATTTTTATGTTTTGTTTTTATATATCATACCCTTTAATATAAAACTCACATGCTGGTATCGGCCTTATACCAAGGAGAATCAGATAATCACCAAGAGTTTATCAAAGAGCACAAGAATAGCTGAAGTGTGAAGTTCAATGGGGAAAAATGTGTTCTTAATTACAAGGTGGGAAATCATTTTTTTTCACAGGCATTGGTGCAGTATAGGCCCTGTTACCCCCATTTTACAGTTAAGGAAGCTGAGGGGCAGAGTGCTGAAACAACTTGCTCAAAAACACACAGCAGTGAGTGGTGTGAAGCCAGAATTTGAGCCTAAGTCTCACTGGATCCAAGGTCCATTTTCTTTCAACTACGTTATACCCTTGTTTACAGAATCTTTGGCTGCTCTTGGCGTCCTCAGATCATATCCCTCATCCTTGCAGGCACAAGGCTGACAAATATTAAGGATTGTGCAAAAATGATAATAAGGGCATCATTACCCAGTCTTCCTTGAAATTTGGTGTTTGGAGGGTGGGTTAGGGTAGGGACAGAGATTCATCGTTGGGGCAGGTGGTGAGGCTTAGACAAGGAGAGAAGCACTGAAATGGTCCACATGAATACTCCTAGGAGAATATATTGATATTGAAACATCCTGGGCACAACTCAATGTTAATCCGATAAACATTACTTAGTGCCTAATATATGCTGGTGCTGGGGCTACACACAGTGCTTAGATGTGCTTCCTGCCCCTCATAAACACTTGACAAGCCTGAAATGCTTGTGTTAAATATTTTTTAAATTAAAGTAAAAACATACAGGCCGGGTGTAGTGGGATTACGCCTGTAATCCCAGCACTCTGGGAGGCTGTGGCGGGAGGATGACCTGAGGTCAGGAGTTTGAGACCAGCCTGGTCAACATGGTGAAACCCCGTCTCTACTAAAAGTACAAAAATTAGCCGGGCATGATGTTGGGCACCTGTAATTCCAGCTACTTGGGAGGCTGAGACAGGAGAATCACTTGAACCCGGGAGGAGGAGGTTTCAGTGAGCTGAGGTCATGCCACTGTACTCCAGCCTGGGTGACAAGAGCAAAACTCTGTCTCAATAAATAAATAAATAAAACAAAAAGAGATAAAGCATTGGCATAATGCATTAGCACGCTATTTTGCAGAACTGGGCAGAAAAAGGACGAAGGGAAAAGGGAGAATCACAGCTGAGACTGTGTTTACATAATAAACTCATTGTGGTCTTTGTGAGCTGTTGGGGAAAGCCTGGCAGAACCAGAGAATTTAAGCAAGTGGATTTGGGCAGCGGGCGGAGGGATTAGGAGGTCATCTTTGGCTTACTCTCACTTCCACAGAAGATATTGAGGCTGGGCCCCTTCTATTCCTGTACTCTCACTACCTAATATAATTGGAAGAAGCAAAGGCTTGGAGACCTCAGAGCACTAGCCCCAGTGATGCACACTCATCTGGGGCCATTCTAGCTTGGTAGTCAAATGACACCATCATACAAATTCCTCAGCCCTGAGAACCCTCTCTCATCAGCTTTCCTCTTGCCAGCCTGGGACCTGATGGAATGGCAAATAGAGAACTCTGCTAGTTGTAGAGCACTGTGGCTACCTAGTCAATACCTGGAAAAGCGAGAAGAGGGTATATATATTTTAGAAATAAAAGTGAAATCTAACATTTTTACAGAGTCTGAGATTTTACAAAGCTTTGACATCTACCATCTCATCTCTTTGTATATGATTCTCAGCATAATCTATGAAACAGGCTGTATTTTGCCCATTTGACAGATGGGAGGACAAAAGCCCAGAAAAGTTAATGTTGCCATCTCAGTATGTCTGAGATTAGGGAAGAATAGAGGAGAGGCATATTCCTGAGGGAGGGTCTCATTAGGGAAGGTGTCTTGGAGGTGACTCAAGAGCTGAGTAGAAAAACACAATTATGCACTAAATAAAGAAAGGGAGACTCCAGGTAGGTGACTTTGAGGCTTGAAAACATATAGAGAGCTGGAGAGGTTGGCAGGAGCACGATGATGATGATAAATGACAACAGCTAACATCTATCTGTTGCTAACTATGTGCAGATACTGTTAGAACAGATACCCTTCAAAGCAGTTTATTTACATTAATTATAACACCTACCTTTTAAGGTAGGTACTTTTATTATCCCCATTTTACAGATGACAAAACTAAGGCACAGAGACGTAGCTTGTCTATAACATCATATAGGATTGACCTTAAGGGCTAATATAAGAAGGATGAATTTTATCTGGAGAGCCCAGAGCACCCCCTCACTCTGAACTTAGCAGAGAGGAGGTGGGCACAGACTTGTGATTTAGGAAGTCTTCTTGGATGCAGGGTGGACTGAGGTCAGAGAGGGGAAAAGAAACTGGAACCTGACTCAGATATTTGTCCAAGGAAGACCTGAACAGAGACAGTGGGGATAGACAGCAGAGGACTATCGCACAATTCCTCATGTTTGTGGATAAGAAATTGTTCCTCATGCAGATCACGAGGTCAGGAGATAGAGACCATCCTGGCTAACACAGTGAAACCCCATCTCTACCAAAAATACAAAAAAATTAGCCGGGCATGGTAGCGGGTGCCTGTAGTCCCAGCAACTCAGAAGGCTGAGGCAGGAGAATGGTGTGAACCTGGGAGAAAAAAAAAAAAAAAACAAAAGAACTTGTCCCTCACACATCTCTGCTTCCTCTATCTGTCAAGGCAGAATAGATTTTAATCTTCCTGCCTCAGGAATTGCATGAAAATTAATGGGACAGAGGTCCAGCTGGCTTTCATCTGCTAAACGATACCCTCGCACGACTGGTGGTGCACATTAAATGCTGAACAAATAAAATGTGCTTTGATGGAGGACCTGGGAATAATTATAGCTTGCTAATTATTGTTAATTTTACCACAGCTTTGAAACTCGGGACTTTCTCAATGACTCAAAAAGAGATTGCAACCTCTTTATGCCATGAAAGTAGCCACACAGCGGCAGCCAAGCAATTTCTCACAGGCTCCATTCTTTCATTATTTACATGGTTCAGCTACTTACGTGGGATACAGGAAAAGAAAAGCAATGATTTGCTGTATTAGAATCAAATTGTACAAAAAACTCTTTACAGTCTTGCTGGCTCTTTAAGAATTTGTTCCTGTTTGTCTCTTTATAGCCAGTGCACACATAAATATTATGTGCGTGTGCACCTGTGTGTGTGCGCTTCTGTGCAGGACAGAAACTTAGTGTTTAACAGAACTTTTAACCCTTTGGACGCCAGGATACCTGTGTGTAACCCTTGATATGGTGAGTAACAGAACTGCTTCCCTAACTTCGACATCTGACCTTCAGATTCTGCATCACTTCGTGTCCACAAACATTTTATTTAAGGTCTCATCACTCTTAAGGTGCCAAAGACCCCTCTCAGGAATATGGGGAAGTTGATAGCAGTGTGACTTCAGGTCTTTAAGCCTCCTCAGCATCACCTATAAAACAGGTCTGATAGTCCCTACCTGTCAGGACTGGTGTGAGGATGAGATAATGCTTGTGAACTGTAAACTATATAAATATGTGCTACTGTGAGAACTGGACAAAGAAGAGAGGGAGTGAGAGAAATTAAGGGCGGGCTAGGGGCCCGGGAAAGAACGAAAAGGGAGTCGGGGATAGGGGAGAGTGCGACAGTCGCGAGCCACACTTTGCAATGAAACTCTTTAGACTTTCTGCCGGGAGAGCGGCCCAGACGCGCCAGGAGTAGGAGGCCGCGCCGAGGGCGGGTCCCCAGAAGCCTGCAGGTGAGTATCGGTTCTCCCCTTCCCGGCTTTCGGTCCGGAGGAGGCGGGAGCAGCTTCCCTGCTCTGATCCTATCGCGGGCGGCGCAGGGCCGGCTGGGCCTTCCGTGGGACGGGGAGGGGGGCGGGATGTGTCACCCAAATACCAGTAGGGACGGTCGGTGGCGGAACCAGCCGGGCAGGTCGGGCCGAGTATAAGAGCCGGAGGAAGCGGCCGGGCGGCAGACGCCCGCAGACCATCCCGGACGCCGGAGCCCGAGCCCCGCCGAGTCCCCGCGCCTCATCCGCCCGCGTCCGATCCGCGCTCCTCCGCCCCACCATGGCTCGGGGCCCCGGCCTCGCGCCGCCACCGCTTCGGCTCCCACTGCTGCTGCTGCTGCTGGCGGCGGTGACCGGCCACACTGCCGCACAGGACAACTGCACGTGTCCCACCAACAAGATGACCGTGTGCAGCCCCGACGGCCCCGGTGGCCGCTGCCAGTGCCGCGCGCTGGGCTCAGGCGTGGCGGTCGACTGCTCCACGCTGACCTCCAAGTGTCTGCTGCTCAAGGCGCGCATGAGCGCCCCCAAGAACGCCCGCACGCTGGTGCGGCCGAATGAGCACGCGCTCGTGGACAACGATGGTCTCTACGACCCCGACTGCGACCCAGAGGGCCGCTTCAAGGCGCGCCAGTGCAACCAGACGTCGGTGTGCTGGTGCGTGAACTCGGTGGGCGTGCGGCGCACCGACAAGGGCGACCTGAGCCTGCGCTGCGATGAGCTGGTGCGCACCCACCACATCCTCATTGACCTCCGTCACCGCCCCACCGCCGGCGCCTTCAACCACTCGGACCTGGACGCGGAGCTGAGGCGGCTCTTCCGCGAGCGCTATCGGCTGCACCCCAAGTTTGTGGCGGCCGTGCACTACGAGCAGCCCACCATCCAGATCGAGCTGCGGCAGAACACGTCGCAGAAGGCCGCAGGTGACGTGGACATCGGTGATGCAGCCTACTACTTCGAGAGGGACGTCAAGGGCGAGTCTCTATTCCAGGGCCGCGGCGGCCTGGACTTGCGCGTGCGCGGAGAGCCCCTGCAGGTGGAGCGCACGCTCATCTATTACCTGGACGAGATTCCCCCGAAGTTCTCCATGAAGCGCCTCACCGCCGGCCTCATCGCCGTCATCGTGGTGGTGGTGGTGGCCCTCGTCGCCGGCGTGGCCGTCCTGGTGATCAGTAACCGGAGAAAGTCGGGGAAGTACAAGAAGGTGGAGATCAAGGAACTGGGGGAGTTGAGAAAGGAACCGAGTTTGTAGGTACCCGGCGGGGCAGGGGATTGGGTGGGGTACCGGATTTCGGTATCGTCCCAGACCCAAGCGAGTCACGCTTCCTGATTCTCGGCGCAAAGGAGCCGTTTATCCTTTCAAATTCCTGCCTTCCCCCTCCCTTTTGCGCACACACCAGGTTTAATATATCCTGGCCTCAGGGTCTCCTTTCTTTCTCACTTCTGTCTTGAAGGAAGCATTTCTAAAATGTATCCCCTTTCGGTCCAACAACAAGAAACCTGACTGGGGCAGTGAAGGAAGGGATGGCGCTGCGTTATGTGTAAAAAACAAGTATCTGTATGACAACCCGGGATCGTTTGCAGGTAACTGAATCCATTGTGACACTGTGAAGGCTTAAATGAGTTTAGATGGGAAATAGCGTTATCGCCTTGGGTTTAAATTATTTGATGAGTTCCACTTGTATCATGGCCTACTCGAAGAGAAGAGGAGTTTGTTAATTGGTCCTAGGTAGTAGCCTCATTAACCATCGTTTGTATTACTGACCACATAGCCTGTCACCAGGAAAGAAGCCTGTTTCAGCTGCCTGAACGCAGTTTAGATGTCTTTGAGGACAGACACTGCCCGGAAACTCAGTCTATTTATTCTTCAGCTTGCCCTTACTACCACTGATATTGGTAATGTTCTTTTTTGTAAAATGTTTGTACATATGTTGTCTTTGATAATGTTGCTGTGATTTTTTTTTTAAAAAAACATGAATTTAATAAAATATGGGAAAGGCACAAACCAAAAGTTGGCATTTGTGAAAAGTCCCTCCAGAATTCTATCACTCTGGTCTCCTCTAATTTCCCAAGACTTGTATTTTTTTTAAATTTCAAATTATAACACTTTTTTTCCCCCCAAAAATGGGTGTTTCATGTTGCTATTCCGGTGTGTCCTAAGATATCCTAACTGGCCAGTGTAAATGCTATTCTTTCTGAATAAGATTATTTGGAAACTTCCTTCAAACTTCAGGAGGGTGAGCATGAGGGAGGAAGCTAAAACTAGTTGCTTTTATGAAAAAGAGTGCCAGTCTTTGGTCATCTCTAAACAAGGCTTGTCACCAATGGAGACAGAAAACTCTAGTTCAAGAGCTGTATCTCCTTTGAATCCCAACCCTACTTTGAAATAGGTGATACTATTTCCATTCAGCGTTTGAGCAAATTACTTAATCTCAAAGTGTTGTGGCTCTAAGATTAAATGACTTTCCCACATAATTGGAACCAGCCTGCAGTGGGCCCTATGCTTTTGCTGGGTGTGCACAAGTTGTTTTCCTAAGACTTTTGCTTGCTTATTTATTTATTTATTTATTTATTTATTTATTTTGAGATGGAGTCTTGCTATGTTGTCCAGGCTGCAGGGCAGTGGAGTGAGCTTAGGTCACTGCAACCTCCACCTCCTGGGTTCAAGGGATTCTCCTACCTCAGCCTCCTGAGTAGCTGGGATTACAGGTGCCCACCACTACGCCTGACTAATTTTTGCATTTTTAGTAGAGATGAGGTTTCACCATGTTGGCCAGGCTGGTCTCGAACTCCTGACCTCTGGCGATCCACCTGCCTCGGCCTCCCAAAGTGCTGGTATCACAGGTGTGAGCCACCGCACCCAGCAATTTTTACTATTAATGTGCTTTAAAGATGTGTTTTACCTATTAGCTGTAAAAACTAGCCACTTGTCCCTCTTACATTTATCTCTTCCTTTTCACTCATTCACAGTCATTTATGTGTGTGGCTGTGGCGTACCCCACAAGTAAACAAGTTACTGCAGTAACTGAGAAATTCATACAATACTGGGTGTGTACAAAGGAGGGAGTGGTTGATATATCACATATTCAGCAACAGCTAAGCTAGATCCAGGACTGCAGTTTCTTCCCCTGGAATCCATCTCATGCCCCTCCTCCCATGCTGTTTCTACAGTCTGTGATGACCTCTCAAGACTGAAACACCAGTAAGAACTGGGGGAGAGAGAGAGCTCTCACCCACTGGCTTCTCAGCTTAGGGCTGTGGCTGCTATGTGCTGGTGGAGTGGATACTGTAAGATTGCCAGAGATCTCAAAGTCTGTGGCCACTCACCAAGGGAGAAACTCTGTCCAGGCTCCAAACTTCCTTCCAGGATCAAATGAGACTTCCCAAGGGAAGAGGGTGGATGTGAGCAGGCTCTCCCACAGTAGGAAGGATGGCCAAAGTACCTGATGTTAGAACTGGCTCTCTAACAATGAGAGTGAGATGGCCCACTCTAGGTCTCGCTGGGTGCTTTCCACTTCTGAGTCACTGAATGCGTTGACGGAAGTGACCCTGGTGATCACCTGTGACCTAACCCCACTTTTCATACATGAAAAGAGCAAGTGACTTCTCAAGATAAATGTTTCTGTAGCACAGCTGGAACTAGAGAGTCTCATTGTTTCAAGAGTCACTTTTAAAAACTCACTTGTCTGCCTGGAAAATAAATAAAGGATCCAGTGGGCAACTGAACAAAGAACGCTCCCTGAAAAAGCCCCTTCCTCCATCAGAATGTTGATTCTGGATGATATTTAGGTTTCTGCATTAATTCAGGACTATAACTTCTTATACTTTATAGCATTTATAATTTGCAAAGCATTTTCACACATATGATCTTCTTTGAGCCATTGACTTACTGGAAGTAACCCAAATGTTGACAAACCTGAGGTCAAATCTTACTCCTCTGGGCCAAGAAGTCACTTACCTCCCCTGTTTCCTCATTAGTTAAATGAAACTATAAATCCCTCTCTCACAATTGTGAAGATTAAATGAGGTAATTGACATGAGCGTCTGAAACAATCTGGTACTTAGTGAAAGTTTCGTATATTTTAAATTTTCTCTTGTTTAGATTACATCCATGTCACATGTCAGCAAACTGAGATTTGAAAGACATTGAGTAGACTCATGAACACACACCCTGCATATACCAAATCTGGGGCTTGGGACTTTTGCCTTGTGTAGCTAAGATTTTTACTATTAATGTGCTTTAAAGACGTGTTTTACCCGTTAGCTGTAAAAACTAGCCACATGTCTCCATTACACTTATTTCTTCATTTTCCTGCTGGGTACCCAGCAGGTTAAGATGCCTTTTTTGCTCACTTCTTCCAAGGAAGAGGCCCCTCATGCTTCTGTTTTGAAACTCAGCTTTCCTCTGCTGGGGTCAGGTCTTAAGAACCAGCTATCTTCAGGGACTGAGCAGCTGCCTCCAAGATTCCGCCCACCTCCCCACCAAAACAAACAAACAAACAAAATACCTTACTGGTTCACTGGTTCACTGCCCAGAGCTCAGACCTGGGGCTGCCCTTGGAAGGAATGTGGGGAGTAGGTGTGGCTTGCCCAGCAAGTTGCAGCCTGCCTTCTGAGCCTCCTGAGGACACTCGACTGATTTCCTTGTGTAGGTCACCAGGGCTTTATCCATTCTTGCTGTTTCTTTTATTGAAGCATTTTTTTAAAGATCACCCATTCCTCCCTCTGCTTACATATTTTTTGCTTCATCATTTTTCAAGTGGAATCACAGAATGTAATGTCAGAGCTGGAAAAAGCTTAGAGGGTCATTTAGTTCAACATTCTGATTCTATAGATGAAGACACTGAAGCTCACAGAGGAGAATGGATTCACCCAAGTAAGACAGAGAGGGGTGGAGACACCCTAGAGCTCTAACACCCTGGCTTTATCCTATCTAATGTTCCACTTGCCTCCCTGGTTAGTCTCCCGATGATGTATTTAGTAAATAGTCACTCTTGTTAGAACTAGGGGAAGGTCCCCCAAGAACTTGGGAGAAAAATACTAGTAATGGGCGAGTTCTTTCTAATGTAATGTGAACAGAACTTCCACTCCACTTTCTGAAACAGACATCTCTCCATAGACTTCTGCTATTAGAGGGGGCTAGAGCAACCTTGGAAGCCTCCTGTTTATGTAAAACAAAGGACCCTGTGAGTACTGAGTAGATTTCCTTTACAATTACTAGCAGGTCCTGGTGGATATCTTCCAGTTGTAATTTCCCTCCTGGAACCATTCCCTGTCATTGCTAAATATCATTAGAGGTTTCATTATAGCCTTTTCTAGTGAGCTCAAAGGAGGAATTGTTGGGAGGGGTGGGGATGGATAGAGGGGCTGGGCCCATTGACTGTTAGAGAATTATACTGTAAACAGGGGGTTGTGTCCCCTGGCACTGCAGCAAGCCATATGTCATCAATTTCAGTGAAAATTCTCAGGTTCATGATGTACAAGGAGGCCAAATCAATCTGAGTAAGAAGGGAAAGATAAATGATCCAGAGGGATAGCCCGAACATGTTAACCAGCAGTTTATCAGCAGGCAGCTCAGCTTACCAAAGCATCTTGTCTCCTTGCAAGGAAAGGGATCTGGACTAGATAAGCATTAACTCCTTGGAATCCTTGTGCCCACCCTTCTCCCATGCTGGATGTAGCTGAGTCTCTTCGGTGGCCTCAGCACTCTCAACTCCCTTGTTATCTGATACTGTTGGAGGAAATGTCCCGGCCACCCAAATATTTTTATGTGAAGCACATTGTCATATGCAATTGAAACAACATAATACAGAAGGTGGGAAAAGGTACCAAACTATGCCAGCAGATGAGGCTTCAAGTCCTTGTTCTTGCTTTCCAACTGTATTATCTTGAATATGGCACTTCACCTCCCTGCACCTCACATTTGCGTTATAAAATGAGTCTAGTGATATCCACTCACTCTAGCTCATAGAGCTCCTGGCTCCTTATCTGATCTCAGTGGGACTGGGGTGAACTCGACTAAGCAGCCAGTTTGACCAGTGTTGGCTCTAGCTGGAGTGAAAAGGCCCCAGTGATTATCAGCGGTTACCCTAAAGCAGGCACAAGTTGGACAGTCTGTGTCCTCAGAGATGCCCAGCATTGGTCATTTATTTGTTCCCTCAAATATTTTTTTTGTCTTATTTGATGTCAGATATCATACTAGTTTGGGGAACAATGAATTGAACAGATGTGGTTTCTCTGGTGCTTTTATTTGTTTTCTTACCTGGCATCCCCACAATGTTTTCAATGGGGGAAATGCCCACATTGTGTGAACCTTGATGGGAAGCCTGATGGTACTGTTCCCTGGCAGGTGGGATATGGGCATGTAACATGGCTCAGCCAATTGAACTCTCCTGCCTGGGCAGAGATCTAGAGGATATGAAGCCATAAATCAGGACAATTGAGAAATTTTCTCAGAACAGTACTGGCTTTGTCAAGAGCACAGCTGTTCCATGGGTGCCAGTGTCCAGTGGCAGCAGTGTTGGTAGAATATCCCAATTGGATTGCCCCACAGCTTGATGTTGGCCACATCCCCTGCTGCCTAGGCAACCTTAGGTCCTGGTCATTTTCTGTATCTGATTCACCAGCCTTCCCACTGATTCTGTGAACTTAATCCAAATCCTCCAATAAATTCCTTTTATGCTTAAGTTTAGCCAGAATCCTTTTCTGTTGCTTACAGCCCAAGAATCCTGACTGGTAGAGTCTCTGCCTTTAATGAACTTAAAGGCTACAGCATAGACAGTCATTAACAACACCATCATGTAAATAAGGGTGCAATTTAAAAATGAGATACGTGCTCTAAAGAAAAAAAGTAAATATGAATGTTCTGACCTAGTCTTGGGGGAAGTCGTATCCTTAAGGAATTGATGCTTGATTTGAGATGTAAGGCATGAGCAGATGTTATTTATGCATAAAGAGAAGCATTTCAGTAAGGGAGAACAGCATGTGCAAAGGTCCTGAAGCAGGAGCAAG